TTACCTCTCTCATCTCAGTATTCACAAAGAAACACTTAAATAAAGGCTCACCTTAGATTTTCTGGGGCATGTATTGTACCCTTCTCATCTTCTGGCTTTCTTGATTGATTATACTTATTTCCTAGATTTACCCTGTCACCCTCAAAACTATTACAAAACTTTGAATTCTTATTCTCCAGGAATGATTTTCCCCAAACTGAATGCTCCTTACATCTTGTTGACTTTCCCATCAGAATCAGAATGCCCCACCAGCTTTTTAATATTATGTACCAGCATTCTGATATTCTTCTGGTTCTGATTTTGCACAGACCTGATTTTGTACATATCAAAGGTTTTCTCATTGTTTCACAAATCTGAACTGCTCCTCCTGGCACTATTCTGTCATCGCTGCATTGAAACTACTTAACTCTGCTTGCCTATTTGGCACTCTGCATGGAACAGATAGCTTTCCAAGAAAGTCATCTCAGTAGTCCTCAGTTTCAACATCTTGCCCAGCAACCTACATTTGGCTTCCAGGCCCGCCTGACTACTTTTCCTCACATTGTTAGTATTGACATGCATCCTATCCATGGGCTCCAGTCCAGCATTATCTACCAAGCTTATCTAGATAGCATGTGATGTCTGCTCCTTCGCAGTAGGAAGACAAGTCACCATATGGTTGGAATGCCTGTCCCACTTCTATTTGTCTAAGAATAATAGACAAATTATAATAGGATAGATTAATAATATAATAATTAGTAAGAGAATTCCTAATAATAAAATTCTTTACTAGTAAAAGCATCCTCTATGAGGTAGTATATGTGTTCACTCACAAAGAGTGGGTTCTTTCTAAGGGTTTTGTTCTCTCTTCCATGGATAGAGTTCCTCCTATCCTTAGAGCTTTATTTTCTGTGACTGATAAGGAATCACAGTTGGGGTGGGATCATCCCTGAAGGCCTCTGTTGCCAACTTCTCTATCCCTCTTAGCTTGTCCAGTTCAGTTACCTTTGCTATAAGGGAATTAAGTTGCTGTCTGAGAGCAAGGTGCTCACTACACTGATCGCATAGTTGTCCAGCAGGGAGATAATCATATACTTGGTACAATATATTGGCTAGCTCTCGCACACCCCCTGCTGGCTGCTTCCTTTTAGTTATTAGTTAGGGTTTGCTTGAATAACCAATTTCTTTAAAATATCAGAAGGAGACAGATTAGATGCCCTGACCTGAAGTTGGGTTTGAAGACTCAAACGGGCTACACTTAGAGTTAGGTTGTACTGTAAAATGTAAGGAGCTTGGAAGGCAAACTTAGACTGTTTTACAAGCAGGCTTAAAACTAAATACACTGCTACTCTGGGATTATTCTTTAAAATGGCCTTGATTTAAATCCATTCCCCAATTCTAAGTTAAAGCTCAGTTTTGCTGTTGCCATTCCAGCTAGAATAAAGCAGCAGGACCTGTAAGTTCCTTGCCTTGTTGCAGGTTTTCTGAGGAAGCATGTTTCTGGATTTTAATTGATGTTATTTGTTTAATAAGTAAGTAAATGGAAATAAATTCCCTTACATGCATGCTTAGCTCACAAATCCATTTCACTGCAGTAGAGGAAGTGGACAGGGTCCTCAGGATAGTCAGTGCCACCACCTGTCAACTAGATCCATGTCCCTCCTGACTAGTTAAAGCTTCCTGGGAGGTGACATGTGGGGGGGCCAAGCAATGGTGAATTCATCCTTGAGGGAGGGGGTGTTTTAGCTGCCTTTAAGGAGGCACTGGTGCACCCCCTCCTCAAGAAGCCATCACTGGATCCCACCATACTGGACAATTTTCATCTGGTCTCCCCCCTCCCCTTTTTAGGGAAGGTGGTTGAGAAGGTGTTGGCGTTGTAGCTCCAGAGGATCCTGGAGGAAACGGATTATCTGGACCCTTTTCAGTCAGGTTTCAGGCC